TTGATGCTTTGCACCATACTGGGTTGCGCCTCAGTTCTGGTGCCTTTCGTTCGACTCCCGTCCTTAGCTTGTATGTTGACACTGGCTTCCTGTCTCTCCAGGACCGCCGTGATCGCTACTGTCTTCGCTATCTTGCGCGGTCCTTACAACATCCTTCCTCTCGCCTCTGTCGTGCTTTAACTTTTACCCCTCTTGCGGTTCCTGTTCCTCTTCACCACCTCCCTCTTTCTGTCCGGTTATCTCGCCTTCAGGATTCTCTTTCCGTTCATATTTCTAATGTTTCTCCTCATGTTGTTCCTTCTTTGCCCCCGTGGAGAGTCCCTCTTTTTTTTTTTTTTTTTTTTTTTTTAGATATATACAAGAGTTGTTACATTCTTGTACAGCCACTAGTACGCGTAGCGTTTCGGGCAAGTCCTTAATCCTATGGTCCCTGGAATACGATCCCCTGCCGCGAAGAATCGTTTTTTCATCCAAGTACACATTTTACTGTTGTGTTAAACAGAGGCTACAGTTAAGGAATTGCGCCCAGTAAATCCTCCCCGGCCAGGATACGAACCCATGACATAGCGCTCGCGGAACGCCAGGCGAGTGTCTTACCACTACACCACGGAAACTGTTTAAAGTTTCCGTTCCGCGGTTTTGTACTTCCTTGACCCGTATCACTAAAGCTTTTACCCCTCCTATGGTTCTAAAACACCTTTTCCTTGAGCACTTTTCTTCTCACTCCCTCTCCGTTTCTGTCTTCACCGATGGGTCTAAGTCTGCGGACGGTGTTGGTTACTCTGTTGTTTTTCCTGATCGCACTTATATGTGTCGCTTACCTCCAGAGACTAGCATCTTTACAGCGGAGCTTTATGCTATTCTCTATGCTCTTCATCTCCTGCTTTCTCGTTGTCAGTCTTCCTTTGTAGTTGTTGACTCTCGTAGTGCCCTCATGGCTCTCGGGTCCTTTAATCCAGTTCATCCAGTAGTTGGGGAGCCGGTCGGCCGAGCAGACAGCACGCTGGACTTGTGTTCCTGTGGTCCTGGGTTCGATCCCAGGCGCCGGCGAGAAACAATGGGCAGTTTCTTTCACCCTATGCCCCTGTTACCTAGCAGTAAAATAGGTACCTGGGTGTTAGTCAGCTGTCACGGGCTGCTTCCGGGGGGGTGGAGGCCTGGTCGAGGACCGGGCCGCGGGGACACTAAAGCCCCGAAATCATCTCAAGATAACCTGAAGATAACCTCAAGTTGTCGAGATCCAGCATTGGCTGTTTCTTGTTCACAGTAAATTTAAGTCGGTTGAGTTTTGTTGGGTTCCCAGCCATATTGGTGTGTCTTTAAATGAGCGTGCGGATGCTGCTGCCAAGGAAGCTGTCTGCTCTTGTCCCGTCTCTCGTAAAGGTATTCCATATTCCGACTTTTACCCGGTTATCCATTCCTCCGCCCTTACCCGTTGGCAGGCTTCTTGGTCGTCTGTTACTGGTAACAAACTACGTACTCTTAAATGTTGTGTTTCCTCGTGATCGTCCTCCTACCACCGTAACCGGCGATGGGAAACAGCTCTGGCAAGGTTGCGTATTGGCCATACTCGCTTAACCCATGGTCACTTGATGGAGCGCCGCCCTGCTCCTTATTGTCCTAATTGCATTGTCCCTCTTACGGTCGTGCACGTCCTTCTTGAATGTCCTGACTTCCAGGACGAGCATGTGTCTTGCTTTCCGACCGCCCCTCGCGGTCACCTGTCCCTCAATAGAATTCTTGGTGACTCGGATACTTTTGATATCGTTCGCCTTATGCGTTTTTGTTCTCGTATTGGCATCCTTGGTGATATTTAGCGCCCTCTGATTATTCTGCGCATTTGATGGTGCTACACAGCCTTCCCGGTTTGGTGCCTTCTTTTGATAATTACTTACTTACTTCTCAGCTGGAGATTCTTAGGAATAATGTGAACCGGTATAGCCTAACTATTTAAGGAAAAAATGGAGTCAATCAAAAAGCATGCATGGGGAATATGGTAAATAAAGTTAATAAAGGATTTGATTGCAAATGTAAAGAATAAAGTATAAAGAGGCGATGACGCAAGAGGTGGACTACATTTTGACTTGAGGAGAGGTGTATCGCTGACGACCAGATCCTGCTATCTGAGTGGTTTTCTCCGGCCGTACAGTCAGATAAGCCTATCTTTGTATCTAAACAGGGTTGCAAGATATTGTAGAGTAGTTATGCAGACTTTGGAGATGTTTGTAAGAGAGAGTCCAGGTTTCCTAGAGGTGTAAATATATGTGTAAAATATATGTAGGTTGATAGCTGTGGTGGCTGTGTACAGTTCCAGGTTTGGGACGGTGAGCCTTAAGGTATCTAGAGCCTGCTAGTGACTTTTCAATAATACTAAATGACCATGTATTTAAGGATATCACCTTATTGAATATGTTTGTGTCTTTGCATATAAATTTGTGGCTATGTACTAGGCTGTTTTTCCTTACACCTTGATTCTCCCCTAGGCTCCAGTAAAATAATTTGTTTCCCCTAGACAACATATAAAGGTCCTCCCCCACCAAATTCTTGACAGGTCTCTTTGACTACACAGAACTATGACAACAAAATCATGTCATAATTGATGACAAAAATAAGACACAACCGTGACAGTTAGCACCAGGTTATATCCTCTTATGAAGAACCCTGTGACTTGCAATCCTCTGACCAATTATTATTATTATTAACATCTTTATTGACAAATTGAATTACAATTTTGCCTAATCTGAGGATTTCAATTAAGTCTTATTAAAGTGAGGATAATCTGACCAACAACCCTGTGACCAACAACCCTGTGGCTGTAATGATCTGTGCAGATCATGGCTCTCCCTCTTTCCCCTTCTCCCCATCTCCATTTTCCCCCTCCCCTTCTTCTCCTTCTCCTACTCCTCCTCCTCCACCTTCTCCTCCTTCTCCCCTTCTCCCTCGTTCGTCCCCCTCCCCTGGTTGCCGTCCCCTTTGTGTGGTCATTCTTCCCCCCTCCCTCTGTTGGTCTCTTATTATGATGTTGATGTTAATAATGTCGGTCGGTTATCCATCCATCGTTTCGGACAACCAACCCAAAATTCCGTAGAGTGCTTATTTTGACTAGGAGATCACCCTGGGTGCTTCTGGCACTTGGAGAGGGGCTCAACGTCACTCGTTTAGGGGATGCGGCTCCTATACTGACCTCGTCACGTGCACACACCCACTCGAGCCGCCGAGACTCCCCACTCTCTCCTTATGTGGTATGATCTCCTCAATCCCCTTTCTGTTAATATTATTCTGTTCTACCCTGTCCATAGCTGTGGTTCTTTCTTTCTCTCCCTTTTTCTACTTTCTGGGAAGCCTCACTAGGACAAGTCTTCCGAGTTTGTGGTAATATCTGTTATATTATCTGCAGCTTGAATGTCATTCATAAAGAAGCTGTCTGGGTCATCAACTTTCATGTTGTTTATTGGTGTGCTAAACATAGCCTCATACTGGCTTCTTAGAATTTCACTAATCTATGAAATTTCACAACACTGTGACCAACAACACTGTGACCAACAACACTGTGACCAACAACACTGTGACCAACAACACTGTGACCGACAACACTGTGACCGACAACCTTGTGACCGACAACACTGTGACCAACAACACTGTGACCAACAACACTGTGACCGACAACACTGTGACCAACAACACTGTGACCAACAACACTGTGACCAACAACACTGTGACCAACAACACTGTGACCAACAACACTGTGACCAACAACACTGTGACCAACAACACTGTGACCAACAACACTGTGACCGACAACACTGTGACCGACAACACTGTGACCAACAACACTGTGACCGACAACCTGGTGATCAATTTACAAAACCCGATAATTTCGAATTCTTTTCAGCCGATATTCTAATAATTAAGGTAAATGAAACGCTAATTTTTAGAAATAAAGCATTTGTTACAGCATAACACAGCATGTATCCCGGGTTACAGCATAACACAGCATGTATCCCGGGTTACAGCATAACACAGCATGTATCCCGGGTTACAGCATAACACAGCATGTATCCTGGGTTACAGCATAACACAGCATGTATCCCGGGTTACAGCACAACACAGCATGTATCCTGGGTTACAGCATAACACAGCATGTATCCTGGGTTACAGCATAACACAGCATGTATCCTGGGTTACAGCATAACACATCATGTATCCTGGGTTACAGCATAACACAGCATGTATCCCGGGTTACAGCATAACACAGCATGTATCCCGGGTTACAGCATAACACAGCATGTATCCCGGGTTACAGCATAACACAGCATGTATCCCGGGTTACAGCATAACACAGCATGTATCCCGGGTTACAGCATAACACAGCATGTATCCCGGGTTGCAGCATAACACAGCATGTATCCTGGGTTAGCATTCTTAGAAAAATAGTGAACCCTTGGCCCGAGCAGGAGTCCAGTGCTGCTCGTGTGCTTCATGGAGTTTAGCGTGATATTGGCCACCATTGTTCTTGAGTCGTGTTTACCTATTAGTTGAGTCATGTATTAGTTGAGAGATGTATTTACCTATTAGTTAAGTGATGTATTACCTATTAGTTGAGTCATGTATTTACTTATTACTCGAGTCATGTATCTATGTACAAGTTGTAACTTTGCTTCCTCTCCTTGATGATGTTACCTAAGACATTGTTAGTATTAAAGGTAACTGGTCAGTTTATTGTAACATAACTGGTCAGTTTATTGTAACATAACTGGTCAGTTTATTGTAACATAACTGGTCAGTTTATTGTAACATAACTGGTCAGTTTATTGTAACATAACTGGTCAGTTTATTGTAACATAACTGGTCAGTTTATTGTAACATAACTGGTCAGTTTATTGTAACATAACTGGTCAGTTTATTGTAACATAACTGGTCAGTTTATTGTAACATAACTGGTCAGTTCTCTTACTTCTTGAGTTTTTTATGCATGAAGAACCATGTTGCATGCAACGGCTTCAGTATAGGTGTTTTGTTTTTGTACAACCACAGTTCATCTTACCACAGTCCATCTTACCACAGTTCATCTTACCACAGTTCATCTTACCACAGTTCATCTTACCACAGTCCATCTTACCACAGTTCATCTTACCACAGTCCATCTTACCACAGTTCATCTTACCACAGTTCATCTTACCACAGTTCATCTTACCACAGTCCATCTTACCACAGTTCATCTTACCACTGTCCATCTTACCACAGTTCATCTTACCACAGTTCATCTTACCACAGTTCATCTTACCACAGTCCATCTTACCACAGTTCATCTTACCACAGTTCATCTTACCACAGTCCATCTTACCACAGTTCATCTTACCACAGTTCATCTTTCCACAGTTCATCTTACCACAGTTCATCTTACCACAGTCCATCTTACCACAGTTCATCTTACCACAGTTCATCTTACCACAGTTCATCTTACCACAGTTCATCTTACCACAGTTCATCTTACCACAGTTCATCTTACCACAGTCCATCTTACCACAGTTCATCTTACCACTGTCCATCTTACCACAGTTCATCTTACCACAGTTCATCTTACCACAGTTCATCTTACCACAGTCCATCTTACCACAGTTCATCTTACCACTGTCCATCTTACCACAGTTCATCTTACCACAGTTCATCTTACCACAGTTCATCTTACCACAGTCCATCTTACCACAGTTCATCTTACCACAGTTCATCTTACCACAGTCCATCTTACCACAGTCCATCTTACCACAGTTCATCTTACTACAGTCCATCTTACCACAGTTCATCTTACCACAGTCCATCTTACCACAGTCCATCTTACCACAGTCCATCTTACCACAGTTCATCTTACCACAGTCCATCTTATTACAGTTCATCTTACCACAGTCCATCTTACCACAGTCCATCTTACCACAGTTCATCTTACTACAGTCCATCTTACCACAGTTCATCTTACCACAGTCCATCTTACCACAGTTCATCTTACCACAGTCCATCTTACCACAGTCCATCTTACCACAGTCCATCTTACCACAGTTCATCTTACCACAGTCCATCTTACCACAGTCCATCTTACCACAGTCCATCTTATTACAGTTCATCTTACCACAGTCCATCTTATTACAGTTCATCTTACCACAGTCCATCTTATTACAGTCCATCTTACCACAGTCCATCTTACCACAGTTCATCTTACCACAGTCGATCTTACCACAGTCCATCTTACCACAGTCCATCTTACCACAGTCCATCTTACCACAGTTCATCTTACCACAGTCCATCTTATTACAGTTCATCTTACCACAGTCCATCTTATTACAGTTCATCTTACCACAGTCCATCTTATTACAGTTCATCTTACCACAGTCCATCTTACCACAGTCCATCTTACCACAGTCCATCTTACCACAGTCCATCTTACCACAGTTCATCTTACCACAGTCCATCTTATTACAGTTCATCTTACCACAGTCCATCTTATTACAGTCCATCTTACCACAGTCCATCTTATTACAGTTCATCTTACCACAGTCCATCTTATTACAGTCCATCTTACCACAGTCCATCTTATTACAGTTCATCTTACCACAGTTCATCTTACTACAGTTCATCTTACCACAGTCCATCTTATTACAGTTCATCTTACCACAGTCCATCTTACCACAGTTCATCTTACCACAGTTCATCTTACCACACAAATCACAGTCTGATTCGTAGGACACTTTTCAACCAAGATCTTGTGATGAATATTGTTCTCAGAACTTTGCCTGATCTCAAAAATACATCTCTTGTGTTCTTTCAAGATTTTCCTCTAAGAAATTTACTCATTAATCACTGTAGTTAATGTTTTGTTCGGTCTCTTGGCACATACTGTGCTCAGTCTCTCGACACATTTTGTGTTCAGTCTCTCAACACGTACTGTGCTCAGTCTCTCAACACGTACTGTGCTCAGTCTCTTGGCACAAGTGAAATTTGTGATGGGAGCTGTTTAGAATTTTCCAGCTGGGACCGCAAGCTCAAACATTCACCAGGGTTCAACTGGGAGCCTCAAGCTCAAACATTCACCAGGGTTCAACTGGGAGCCCCAAGCTCAAACATTCACCAGGGTTCAACTGGGAGCCTCAAGCTCAAACATTCACCAGGGTTCAACTGGGAGCCTCAAGCTCAAACATTCACCAGGGTTCAACTGGGAGCCTCAAGCTCAAACATTCACCAGGGTTCAACTGGGAGCCCCAAGCTCAAACATTCACCAGGGTTCAACTGGGAGCCTCAAGCTCAAACATTCACCAGGGTTCAACTGGGAGCCTCAAGCTCAAACATTCACCAGGGTTCAACTGGGAGCCTCAAGCTCAAACATTCACCAGGGTTCAACTGGGAGCCTCAAGCTCAAACATTCACCAGGGTCCAACTGGGAGCCTCAAGCTCAAACATTCACCAGGGTCCAACTGGGAGCCCCAAGCTCAAACATTCACCAGGGTCCAACTGGGAGCCTCAAGCTCAAACATTCACCAGGGTCCAACTGGGAGCCCCAAGCTCAAACATTCACCAGGGTCCAACTGGGAGCCCCAAGCTCAAACATTCACCAGGGTTCAACTGAGAGCCTCAAGCTCAAACATTCACCAGGGTCCAACTGGGAGCCCCAAGCTCAAACATTCACCAGGGTCCAACTGGGAGCCCCAAGCTCAAACATTCACCAGGGTCCAACTTGGACCCTCATCCTCAAACATTCCAAACAGGCACCTCAAGCTCTAGTATTCAACAGGGTTCAGGTTCAGTACCAAGTTCAAACATTCACCATGGGTCCTGCCGGGAGCCCAACGGCTCTCAATCTCTTGCTTATGGGCCCAGAGAATAAGCCCATAGAGATGTGTGTAGTTTGTGTTGACTTGCACAGTTCAGCCCTTGTTGGCCGTGGCTATGAGGCGCTCCATCTTGCACAGTTCTATCTCCTGCAGCTGCTGGGCGTCAGCGCCCTTGGAGTCCTTGTGCGGCTTCCTTAGGTTCGGCGAGAGCTTCATGGCCACCAGATGACCCCTGCAACATAAGTTGAAGCTTGTTGGTTACCTTTATCTCACACAATATAAATTTTGGCACTGTAAAAAACTGCAATGGGAAGGTCGATTTTTTGCTTAACCGCTGCACTGCACAGCTAGTTTCTGCAAAAACTTCATAGTGCAATTGTCAAGGACATATTTTTGTTGTTTTTATAAATATTCAGGTAAAGTTAATGCCAAAATGTTTCCAAACTCAACCATTTTCATTTCAAAACACAGGAAGATGAAGACATTAAAACACATTAAAATATAGCCTAATTAAAAAGAAATAGCAACTCTCAGAGCACCTTAAGGCGCGCTGTGCAGTATAGTGCTTAAGAACTCATTTATACGTGATAATGGGTTATTTTGGTGGTTTGGTTCCTTAGTAAGTGCGCCAGAGAGATGAATTCCCCAGAAGCCATTATCATGTTCATAGCAAACGGTACCATCCGTTTGCATGCTCTGTGTTTCATACGCCAGCAGATAGTATGTAAACAACGGAGAGCGTACAGGACGCCCGCCACGCTTAGACGCTGCTAGTCATGTATCATTATAAGTGTTAAAGTCAGTAACCGAACAATGACTTTATATTAACCCTACGACCAAGACTTCCACAGCCACACAGAACACCACACTGGCGACGAGGATGAACAGTGAACGCAGGTATTCGTCCAGCTTTAGACACAAGGGGAAAAAAGCATGCTGTTTCACCTCAGAGGAGAAACCGTGCTGTCTTTGAACACCATACCAATGCTGTGTACTACCAATGCTGTGTGCTGACCAATGCTGTGTGCTGACTGAAGCTTAGTGCTGACTGAAGCTTAGTGCTGACAAGCTTTGTGCTGACTGAAGCTTAGTGCTGATAAGCTGTGTGCTGAGGAAGCTATGTCCTAACTGAAGCTGTGTCCTGAGGAAGCTGTGTGATATCAACCGATGCTGGGTACAAAACGACGCTCTATGCTACACAATTCTTCAGGCTACGAACTGTCTGCTGTGTTGACAGTGTTGAAAACCCATCAAACATCTGCAGTGCCAACTGCTGTGCAGCTGTGAGTAGGAACAACACCACATGTACACAAGGCTAGGTAAGAGGTTAGTTGCTGCTGTATTGTGCACTGTTGTGATCTTTTGCATTAAAATGCTTGTGTGCTTTGCAAAATTAAAGTAATTACAATGAATTCCTAACTAACATACACAGTGCAGTAAGTGTTTAGTATTCTGAGGAACATTGAAGTGATAAGTGTTATAGTTGTGGTAAGAGAAACAATCTTCGTCCACATGGTTTTATTCTCCGCCAGTTACAACAACAAAACAATTATCAGGTACATGAAATATTATTAACAAGATTGTAAGGGAATCTAGATTCCCTCAGCTAGTTTTCCTAGTTTCTAGATTAGGCTAGTCGCTCTAGGGACTCGTAGAAACTGAAGCTTTCAAACTAACATATACTTGAGGGGTGTTGAATGAAAGCTTATGTTATGGACTATCATTTGTGAGTAGTCAGAAGTCTGTGATTGCTCTGTAGAGAGAATTACAGAGATCTTCCTGTTTCTGTGAAATAGGATGAGGAGGGGAGAGTGTAGTGGTATGAGAGGATACTAGACTAAAACCGTTAGAGGTGGGGGGAGAGTGGGGTGAACGTTGCCCCCCCCAACATGTGAGACAATGCGCCATTGTCTTTAGGCCTCCCCCTCCTTGTGACGTCACGGGACGCCCGAGGGTGAGCGAAGCCTCTGATTGGGTTAGGACCTCTGCTCTGAGCTGTGTTTTGGCGCGAACAGCTGTGATTGGAAGTGGCACGAGGGAACAGTGCCGGCTTCGTGCTGATTGGTCAAGACAAAGTAGGGGGGGAGATATGGGCATTTGAGTTTCCCTGCCCGCCATAGTCAGTTTGAATTGGGCGGCAAGCGGAGGAAGAAGTGACTGGTGGAGGTGGCAGGCCTGCCACCTCCACCCCCGTTAATCGCTTCTGTCGTCCAAATTACTCATCGAGCATGGCACTCCTGCCATCAGGGGTTGTGTCAAGGCCCAATTGGCGTGAATTGGGGCCAAGGATTTACGGAAGGAACAGTAAAAAGCTAAAGAGACAGTTGACAGTGTTCACCCATGAGGCAGCTGGCAGAGCCTCATGGTGTAACAGGTGGTTTTAATAACCTGTCTAGTGTTGTTGGACAATTGGCGGAATCGAGCAGGGCCTCCTAGTGTAATTGTGGTGAGATTACAGGCCCATGTTGGACTTTGAGTTCTGCCAGGCGGCGTCAGTGTGGGGACGCCGCCGGCCATTGTCACCCCAGTGTAGAGCAAGGCAGGCTCTGGTTTGCTGGAGTTGTTGGTGATTCCCCGTCAACGTGTGTATGCCCGGGGGCCATCCCCAGGCCACCCAGCCGCTCGGCCCGGCCACTCGGCTCGGCTCGGCCCGGCCCGGCTCGGAACAGCTCGGCCCGCGCGCTGGCTACCCCACCCGCCTGCCCGCGCGCCGGCTACCACCACCCCCCCCTCTCAGCTCGGGAGGGGCGCTGTGGGCCACGCGGTGGCCACATGCCTTGGCCACCTCCTTGGGCCACTTGGCCACTTTCCTGGGACAGCCTAGGGCCACATCTTGTCGACGCATGAGGAGCAAGCTAAGTGTTGACAGCTAGAGTGGTAGTGACCTGGGAAATGAGTGAAAGAAGGAGAGGAAAAAATGAGTACAATAGTCAGTGTAACAGTGTCTCAGTATTAGTGGAAATTCCCGGTAAGAGTTGTCTCATAGCCTCGCCAGGCTAGGGAAGCAGCTGAGAGACAGCTGTCTGTAGCACGTCCAGGTGACTGGTTGGGCGGTACCTAGAGATAGATGTTGTACACGGGACCACACTGTAGTATCATGATGTATATATGTGCGTAGACTGACTCGAGTATGTAACCGGTCAGTGTAGAGAGACAGACCTTGACTTTGCCAGCTACCTCTAGTACAGTATATTTGACAGAATGTCGTTTTGCTCGCTTGTCTGTTTGTTCAAAATTATAGGCCAGATGCTTGCGTTAGTCTCTCACAAATTCGCAGAGGGAATGGTCTAGGGTACGGGATAGACATAGGCTGGTCGGGGTAGGCCTAAGTTAAATGTATTAAGAAATATTTGCAATTGTCCAAAACCCAAGACGATTTTCATGGAGTAATGTGTGAAATATGCAACCCGTTCTCGCAAATTTAATAAGTCAATATTGACTTATTAAATATGTGCATAGGTGACATACTTAACATAATAGATACCCTTAAAAAGATTCATAGAAAACACCGACCTTACCTAACCTACTTAGTATGTTAAGATAAGCATCTTATTGCTTCGTAATTACAATTATTACCTAACCTATAATAGGTATAGGTTAAGTAATAATTGTAATTACGAAGCAATAAGATGCTATCTTAAGATACTAACAAGGTTAGGTAAGGTCGGTGTTTTCTATGAATCTTTTTAAGGGTATCTATTATGTTTAGTATATCACCTATGCACGTAGTTAATAAGTCAATATTGACTTTACGAATTTGCGAGAACGGGTTGGAAATATGGGGTGTGATTAACTTGGAGTTGTCATAACAATATAATTTCTTAGACCCATACAGTTGTTCCATTGGCTCTTAATAATATATTGTCTGAGAGCAAGGGAAAGAGGGAATAGATAAATATATAAATGGCTAGATGAATACATAGATTATTTGTATGAATTTTTTTCATAGACTCTGAAGAGACTAGATTAATTAAACCTTAGAATGAAGGTAGCTGCAGAAGAGCTATTGGCCTATACATGCACTTGTTTATTTCCACCTAAACACTTTCAAATATATATCCATCTCATGCTTAAACAATCAAGTAATCCTTACCGTCTTACCCATAAGAATTAAGGAAACTGAAGAAGACTATTATCCGATTTTGTTATGTAAAACAAGATCATTTCACCACTTCCCAATTTTTTTCAATCAGTCCATTTTTGAAGTGCTTATTTGTTCCAATTGTTTTTGTGTGTCTAGTTAAATATTACTTTTATATATGAAATATTGTTGGTGTCCAGCCAAAGATTGCATCTTTGTAGCTAATATTTTTAGTCTGTAGTCAAAGATTGCTTAATGAACATAAGAATGAACAAAACTGAACAAGGCCTGATGGCAACTCCTATTTATATCCGCCCAGTTGATGTGCTTTAATCATGTGTTAGGATATACTGCGACTGATTAATGTTGCGGTGTGTTAATTATTGATACTATGACATAATGTTCAAATTAGTGGTGTAACGTAGTGATGGTTATAAGTTTACGCGCTGAGCTCTGTTTTGAAAATGTTTAGATAGAGTAACTTTGTGTCAAGGCCTCAGCGTTCTATAAAGATTATTTATTATTAGGCGGTGGTGGCGGTGTATACATGGATACTACACACTAACATGAGTTTATGTCTCCGTGGCGTATTGGTAAGATGTTCGACTGGCGTTCCGTGTGCGCTTTGTCCTGGGTTCGTATCCTGGTCGGGGAGGATTTACTGGGCGCAAATTCTTAACTGTTGCCCCTGTTTAACTCAACAGTAAAATGGGTACCTGGTTGTAAAAACGATTCTTCGCGGGGGTCGTATTCCAGTGAACATAGGATTAAGGACTTGCCCAAAACGCTACGCGTACTAGTGGCTATACAAGAATGTAAGAACTCTTGTATATATCAATAAAAAAAACATAAACTTTGAATTAATCGAAGCAGAGAATTCCTAAGTATTAGTGGACGAGGGCAAGTTTTGACAGCGTTTTAACATATGGATTATTCACTGTGTTTTAGTAAATGTATTTTTTTTATGCTATGTCTCCTACTGTCTCCCTCCAGTTTTATGTTGTGCTATGCTATCTCATTTACGAGAGAGAGAAAGAGAGAGAGAGAGAGAGAGAGAGAGAGAGAGAGAGAGAGAGAGAGAGAGAAAGAACGAGAACCGAGGCATCATTTTCCTGGTAGTGTGTCAGTTCCGGACACAAGCCAAGGAGAAGACCAAGAGCTGGCAGTGGTGTTGATGGACCAGAAGAAACGTAAGCCAGAGTGGTTCTAGTGATTTAGGGGTATCCTCAGGAGGCTGGGGTCGTTCATGCCCTTGATGGGGTGATTCTTGCCCTGCCCTGACCACGACGGTCTCAGAGTTTCGAGTCCCTGTGCTCTCTTTTTACCAACTTCGAGGTAACCTCCGGAGCTGCAACCTCTAGGGCAGTTCGTTGTTTCCCTCAACCTCGTTCTGACAGTTCCTGCGACAGGGCTGGAACCAATCGTATTGGCATTTGTCTTTCCATTCAACGTTTTCGGCGCCGTGAAGAACGGGGGACCTGCTGCTTGGGTGACAGCTTCTCTGCCATATCACCCTACCCTGGCTTTGCATCCTGGAGAGGCCAGACCAACAACCAGAGCGCAACTCCATAGTCTCCTGAGACTGATGGATGCCTACTACTACTACTACTACTACTACTACTACTACTACTACTACTACTACTACTACTACCACTACCACTACCACTACCACTACCACTACCACTACTACTACTACTACCACTACCACTACCACTACTACTACTACTGTTGCTGCTACTAGTCTCTCTAAATTGTTTGATGGCTGCCTTTGGAGCAGCTACAGTCTATTCAGTGACACTTGGGGAGATGGTGTGTATAACCTATCAACTGGGGGAGATGGTGTGTGTACACTGTCAACAACTGGGCGGGATGGTGTGTGTACACTGTCAACAACTGGGGGGATGGTGTGTGTACACTGTCAACAACTGGGCGAGATGGTGTGTGTACACTGTCAACAACTGGGGAGATGGTGTGTGTACACTGTCAACAACTGAGGAGATGGTGTGTGTACACTGTCAACAACTGGGGGAGATGGTGTGTGTACACTGTCAACAACTGAGGAGATGGTGTGTGTACACTGTCAACAACTGGCGAGATGGTGTGTGTACACTGTCAACAACTGGGCGAGATGGTGTGTGTACACTGTCAACAACTGGCGAGATGGTGTGTGTACACTGTCAACAACTGGCGAGATGGTGTGTGTACACTGTCAACAACTGGCGAGATGGTGTGTGTACACTGTCAACAACTGGCGAGATGGTGTGTGTACACTGTCAACAACTGGGGAGATGGTGTGTGTACACTGTCAACAACTGGGGAGATGGTGTGTGTACACTGTCAACAACTGGGCGGGATGGTGTGTGTACACTGTCAACAACTGGGGAGATGGTGTGTGTACACTGTCAACAACTGGGGAGATGGTGTGTGTACACTGTCAACAACTGGCGAGATGGTGTGTGTACACTGTCAACAACTGGGCGGGATGGTGTGTGTACACTGTCAACAACTGGGGGAGATGGTGTGTGTACACTGTCAACAACTGGGCGGGATGGTGTGTGTACACTGTCAACAAAGAAGTAGAGGCGTGACCCGCTGCTAGGCATTCACTGGTATACACGACCCCAGAGCACCTCTCGCTGTACTTTACCACCCTCTGGGGGATAGTGAGTGGTTCCCATAGTCCTCGGGGGAGCTGCCAGGGTCTCTGGGGTCTTTGGTTGTCACAAAGGGAAAGTGTTGACTAGAGTGGAGACCTCAGTACGGGCACTGTAGCTATCTGAGAGAATCTGCAACAATACACCTTGTAGTCCCCGTGGCGTAGTGGTAAGACACTCGACTGGCGTTTCGCGAGCGCTTTGTCCTGGGTTCGTATCCTGGCCGGGGAGGATTTACCGGGTGCAAATCCTTAACTGTAGCCTCTGTTTACCCAACAGTAAAATGGGTACCCGGTTGTTAAACGATTTGGTGGGTCGTATTCCGGGGAACATAGGATTAAGGACTTGCCCGAAACACTACGGGTGCTAGTGGATGTATAGACATGTAAAAACTCTTATATAAAAAAACTCTCCCCTCCCCCATCAGGATGATGAGAGGGGGCGAGGGGAAGGTACCCTCTTCCCTCCCCTACCCACCAGGATGATGGGAGGGGGGCGAGGGGAGGGTACTTACTTCTCTCCCCCAACCAGGTGATGGGAGGGGGCGAGGGGAGGGAACTTTCTTCTCTCCCCCCACCAGGATGATGAGAAGGGGCGAGGGGAGGGTACTTACTTCTCTCCTCCCACCAGGATGATGGGATGGAAGGGATTGAAGGCGACGCAGGTGGCCGCCACCCGCCGCCGCTGCAGAAGGCTCTGGACGCAGAGCGGGCGACACCTGCGCAGGAAGAGGTCGTACACGTGGACACGTCCCTCGTCGGTCACTGCCACAAACACACTGCTGCTGTATGGTGACCACGTCACCCCCGCCACCGCCCCACCCAGGTCCAACACCACTAGCGGCGCTCTGAAACATCACAAAGCAATTCGATCACACCGTTGCTTGCTTTTGGAATGTTTGTGATGGTATTCTCTATTTAAGACGAGGATTTTTCAGTGAGAACAAGTCTAATACATTTTTTAATGTATACAGTTTAATCTGATTATTATTGTATTCACGATTTAATCTGTTTTTTAAAATATAAATGGTTTTGCTCCGAACATTCGGTCAGCTGTTCCACGTGTTTATTACTCAATTTAATACTTGTACAAACTGGAAGCACATAGAATAAACAGCAAAACACTAGAATGCATAAAAAAATGTGGTTAGAATGCATGTGGTTAAAACAAATTAATCTTGGGCTCAACCCTTTCTGTCATATACATCAATGGCATAGATGAAAATATTGCAAACCATATCATCAGATTTGCAAATTATACTAAAATCTATGGTAAAGTAGGAAACAAATGATTTTTAATATTGGAAAACTCAAGACCTTGCATACATGTATAACAATGCTCATCATTTCTGAAGATGAGATATATCATCAGCCTGATATATGAGGTTGAAGGTCGTTGGCAGTAGAGACAAAGGACGCTGGGAATACTGGTCCCTCCAGGACCTCTGTGTCTGGAATTTTGTCCTGCCACCTGATTTTTTTGTTTCTACCTGATGTGGTGAAGAAGTATGCTGAGACAGCTCAAGTAAATGTGATTTTGCTGTTTGGCGTGTCTGCTGTAGACAGTCCAGGTCTCGCTGGCATAAAGAAGGGTGGTGAGTACCACTGCACAGTGAACCTTCAGTTTGGTGTTAAGGCTGAGACCCCTCCACTCCCAGACAATGTCACGGAATCGTCCAAATGTACTGTTGGTCTTTTGGCAATCCTGTTGTTGGCTTCTGCATCTATGTTCACCACTCTGGAGAGTATGGTGCCACAATAGGTGAAGTGTCAACTACAGGTTCTGCCCCTTGACAATGATAAAGTTCCTGGTTGGGTATTCTAGGCGCAGGTTGGTACGCAACTTCAATCTTCTTGGTGCTGATGATCACGAGTATGAAGAAGGAAGGCATAAGGGATGTCGTCAAATCCGGCAGCAGTATTGGGGCACCTCACAGAGAACACCTCTATAAGCTCCAAGAAGGTAATGGGCACCCCAAAGGTGCTGACCCAGTGTCCACATGAAGCTCAGAAGGATGCGAAAGCCCCATAACGACCTGTACTAGGTAGTAAACCTTTCAAAAGTGTCCTTCATGACCCCCCAACATATGAGAAACACATCCACCTAGAGGAGTGATTACTGGGACAGTAGGTGAGGAGGACTTATCCCTTCATCTGGCAGAGGAATTGCTAGGTACCTGCAGTGGGATTATTAAAGTGATGTGTGAAACAGAGCTCAGCCCAGGCAGCATGATTCGCCTGGAGGATCAGCCGCTTGCATTCAGTAGAAAGATGTCTCCCCACCTCAAGAGAGAGGGAGACTTCCACCATACATTCCAAGCCCTATTACAGTGTTGCCCTGAAGTGTTGCATGTGTCCGGTCACCAAGGCACACACAGGCGAGAGGGGGGGGGGACGCTCCTGGCAGGCGCCAAGCATCGGCACCTGGAGACGGACACAAAGCGGTGAAAACTGTGTTATCAGAAGTTGGAGTTCATGAAAGTTGGCATAAAATCCTCGAATATCCCGTTGAATAATAGACAGTCAAAAATAGAAAGAACAGAAACAGAGAACAAGGAAGAAACAAAGGCAAAGAAGAACATAGTCAACTAGGTAGGATCAGGATCAGGATCAGGATCAGGATCAATGAAATCGGGGTTAGGCGAGGCATAGGTAAATCTAGCAGTTTTCATGGAATCAAGGGAGTGGGGAGGATGGACCAAAGGTAGACGGAGTCTGGAGCGGGAGGAGGCATTGGAGAGGGACGGGCAAGGGAAGTAGGGAAAGGGGGAACAGAAACAGGGAATCATACCTCATCAAGGGAAGCAACCGAGAAAGAATCGAGGACCAAGGGAACCTCCATAGCTGGGACAGGGGGCTCGACCACCAAAATGGGAGGGGATGCAGGGATAGAATCTGAGTCGGAAGGTGGGGAAGACAAGGATGCCTTCTTACCTTCTACCCTCCCAGGGAGGAAGGAGAGGAGCCAGGCTTACATTCTGATTTAAAGAGACAGGTGTGCCAGCAGCAACGTACTGGGTGACAGTCTCCATAATCTCACCATCAGAAAGAGACCGGGAGCGATCAGCATGAAGATTGCTGGGAGGATGGTGGACAAGAGCCTGGACAGACAGGCAGCGTGGAGGGCCAAAAGACAGAGGGGAGAGCTGGAAAGAAAGAATTGGGGGGAGAAGGGAAAGAGGATATAGGAGACGGGGCAGACTGAGAAGGAAGGAAACACCATATGGAGAACCAGGAGGAAGAGGACCTTCTGGTTCAGAACGTAAAGGATCAGGTGAGTGGTGGTGGTGGGTGTGTCCGGGTCCTAGGCCCGGAAACGATTGTGAGACTGAGAAGGGTGGGAAGGGCGAGGAAAGGTAGAGCCAACACACGAGCATAAGACATGCTAGTGAAAGAGGGGAGATGGCGGACTTGGCGTCTCGCCTCAAGAAAAGACAGGCGATCACAGTGTTTCAAATTGAGGATGGCTTCCTCAAATTTGTAGTGCACAGATGCGCGGGAGAAGGTAGGGTGGGCGTCACCGCAATTGATGCAGTGAGCCTGGGAAAAAGAGCACTCCATCTCAGAGTGACCCCGAGTCCTCACTCAAGAGGCACAGAGACACTGCACTTGTGCATTTGAGAGCACCATGCCCAAAGGTGCCAGCACCTATTGTAAAGTCTAGGAGAGGAAATGTACTCCTGAATGGAGCATTTGGCACCAGCAAGAATTATAGAAGGTGGGAGGGTTCAACTATCAAAGATGATCTTTACAACTCGAAGAGGCTGATGACGACGACCATGAGGGGGTCGGGTGAACGTATCAACTTGGAGGACAGAATGGCCTTGGTCTTCAATGATATGTTTTATATCCTCGTGGCAGTCTTTCAGGCCCTTAACGCCAGTTGCAACATGGTCTGGGAGGATAACAGTGCCAATACTGTCATTTAACCGGATATTTTTGGAGATTCTAATAGGGGTCTCCCCAATGCTGGACAATAAAGCTAAGCGGGCTGCTGCGTCCTGAGAAAGAGCAACAACAACACGTGTACCAGTACGGGTGGGGGTTAAAAAGTAACAGAGGTATCCACCGAATCATGAGGTGTTTATGGAGGAAGAAATCGCCTGGTCGTGTAGAATCCAGATGATTGAGATCAAAGTATTTAGTCCATTTAACAGGACCAAAGAAGGCATGGAACGTATTAGCACTGGAAGGAATTGTGCGAGAGCGTCTGTGTGTGTGGGGGGGGGGGGGGGGGGGGGGGGGGGGGTAAGCGCCAAGCACCCCCCTGTAAGAAAGCAAAAAGGCACAGTTGTCACAATGAGAGAAGGAGCCACTGCAGGTGATGTGGTGGTAATCACTGGGGGCTTGGGGCTCAACCCTAAAACAGAGGTGGGAGAGGAGCGGAGAAGGGTAGTCAGGAGGGTCAAAGGAGTAGCTAAGTCTGGGCCCAATGTAACGGGAGCTACTGAGCCTGGTCTTCCAACACAGTCTGACGCAGGGGCTTGGTCGCCCATCCGACGAGTCTGGGAAGTTGGAAGAGGATCATTCAGTGGCACAGAAACGAGGCGGTAATAATTTCAATCGTGAATAAGCCCCCATACCCACCGTGGAGCCACAATTAGATGATAGGGCACCAGACAACAGATGATTTCTGAAAGAACAATCAAGAATGGCAAAAGGTTGGTGGGAAATAGCAATTAGAAAGGAAAAGAGGGGGGGGGGAGGAAAAATTAAACATAAGGAAGAGGGAGGGGGGGGGGAATTAAACATAAGAAAGAGGAAATAGCTACCAGCAAAATTAGTGATGATGGCAGCAGGAGCATATGGCTTCAAAAGTATAGAAGAGGACTGTCTCATGGAGCATCATATCCCGGCAGCCACCCACCAAGCCCCCCTCACGACGACAACGGGCTGAAAAGGGAGGGGGCAGCGCAAAGAAAACTGCCACGATTTTCAGGGAACCCCATGGAAGGGAGAGGCTGCGAGGGTACACATGGGACGCCAACACGCACCACAAGGGCAAGGCCTCCCTTTCTCTCCCGAGGCTATCCTTGTGATGGACACAGTAACCTGGGACAGAGGAGGACAAGGGGTCAGAGAACTACTTCTTACCGATGCCCACCACAAGTAAGGAGGTGTTTGCCAGCAGGAACCGAAATACTTAGAGGTACCACAAGAGGTGGATTATGAGAGGTGGACCTCTCAGAGCCTTAACTTATTGCTTGCAATTCGTTATTTGGTATCCGAAGTGTGTCAATTCGGATGCCAATGGATTCGTCTCATCGAGAGGAGAAAAAAGATCACTGGATGTGACCTAAATAGTTTGGATTTATTGTAATGGATAATGCAGAGCTATTTTACCAGGGGGAGTGTACCTACAACCCAGAGGGAAAATTTGTGCTCCAGAGTGTGGTGGGGGGATGAGTACAAGCTCTCCCCCTCCTGAGACGGTTGTTAGTCCTGACCACAAAACCCCTCAATCCCCCCGAACGACTGTATGGACCTCTGTCAGGATGCTGGCATGCTAAGTCTCGTGCCATGAGGGAGAGATGGTGCTAAAACCAGTCCCAACCGAGTATGAAAGTGTGGGAAGGCCTAAGGCCTCCTGATAGACCAAGAAGATATGACGTCACTGCATTCACAAGGCCACCCGAGAGGCCCAGGACCCTCATTCGAACTTCAGACACCAGAGGAAGACCATGCTATGCCTTTGAGCTCAGGGCAAGCCGGTCATAGAAGTACATTACACTTCTGTTTCAGTGAAACAAACCAAGTACCAGATCCCTTGATGAACTTCTGTGGTGCAGCTGGATATTATTTTGTACTGGAAGAAGGACTTACGACATTAACTACGGCCCCCAGAGACGCCGAGGACCACGTGTGTCGTCCACTAGGTTAGCAGTGTGGAGATTGCTAAGTGAGGATTAATGTGCAATATTCAGGAAGAAACTGTTGAGCACACCGCTTAAGCAAATGGCGGTATTTCAACTGTGCTCGTGTTTTGATTCCGAGTGGAAAGACTCGGTCATAAGTGAGTCTGAGAGAAAAGTGATTGTCCATCTTGCAGTGAACATCTTAAAGGGACAATCAATTGTTAACAGCTTGTGGCAATAACGAAGCAGGGAGTGTTTTGTCCTAGCGTGAGGCAGGAAGGTTAGTGTGAAATAGTCCACTCGCCTGAGGCCAACCCGTCCCCTTAAAATAACGTTGCTTTTTGCTTGTATGCGTGCAATGGTTGTTGTTGTTGTTGATTTAGGGGTGACGACGATCGTGGGATCGGATGCGCCCCGGCGTACCCGTTAAGGGTGAATTGCGAAGCTTGGAGAGGTGGAACGCCAAGCCAAATCGCAAAACGAGTGACGCCAATCACTAGAAACTAATATGCCATATGACAAATAAATGCACAGTCAGGCAGATGATTGGGGAGCCCCAAGAGTCCCTCAGGGTGACAAGCACCGGCCCCGCCCCACACAGAGAACACCAGGTAGCAAAACCAAAACTCTGCCCCCAACTAAAACGCAAAAAGTCATCCAGTGTCCCCCGGCAGAGCAAAAGCCAGCCGCCCACCACGACTGAGGGCACACCAGGAGCCCACCAAGACCCGCCAATCCCCGGCACCTCTCGGCCAAGCCGGCCCCCGAACACCGTCATCCCGCCGGGAGAACCAGCCAGTACACGTAAAAAAAAATCTATCAACAATCCTGTGACCCAAAGTGATATGTGTGTGCCAGGCGTCGTACAATCGGACCGCTGAAAAGGGATGCCAAACAGCAGTAGCAAAGCCAAAACGCAAAAACAAGACGTGATCAGGCGGCACCCAGGCGGAGTCCAGACGTCCGCTCGGCCTCAAGGTTGAACCAGGAGTCCATGCTATGGTTAAAAATGAACGTAATTTCAAATGAAATCGGCTCACAAAAGGGATATACTGTCCCGTTTTTTGTTTGAGTCCTCTGGCTTACTCGATCAGGTTAGGAAAGGAAACTTTCAATTAACAGTTTTCATGATGTTTTGAAACTTTAGGAAAACTTCTTGCCCTTCTAACCTACCAGAGGACCTTTAACTTGCTGTTTTGGGAAAACAAATGCAAAATTTATTTTCAATTATTTTAATTTTCAAATTATGTCCATTTTTGGCCATTCGGGCAAACGGCCAACTTCAGACGTAATTTGTAAGCGGACAGGTTGACTGTGTGTGCATTCAAGTGTTCACGAGCCGCGCACCGAACAGAAAACGGGAGATGTAAGTAGAAGTGTGGGGTTAATTGTTGATCAGTAGAGCCTGTGAGTGATTGTTGTACGTTACGCTGCAGGTCTGATGGTTGAGTCTGAGTGATCGATCAGCTCGCATTGTGCATTACCGAACACATGGAGTTACCGAGTCATCTGGAGAGTTACAGGATATGTACCTCACTTAAAACTACAATCTACCTACCAGGTGGACCAACATTTACATGGGGAGGCGGTGTTAGACATAACAGAGGGGGGGGGGGTGATGACGGGGGCTGACCTTGAGTACTGGAGCCAGACAGGGAGAGGGGGGGGGGTGATGACGGGGGCTGACCTTGAGTACTGGAGCCAGACAGGGAGAGGGGGGGAAGGGTGATGACGGGGGCTGACCTTGAGTACTGGAGCCAGACAGGGAGAGGGGGGGAAGGGTGATGACGGGGGCTGACCTTGAGTACTGGAGCCAGAGCTTGATGGTATAGTCGACAGAGCAGGTGAGGAAGACCCGGTGGTGGTGGGCGTTCCAGGTGACCTTCCTCACGGGCGAGGTGTGGGCGGGGTATCTGAAGATGGAGTGGGTGGCCGAGGTGGTGCAGCACTGGAACACCACGCCCGTGTTCACGCCCACAAGCAACACGCTCGCATCGTCTGGTCTGAACGCCATGCACGTCGCCACACCTGCAATGATGACCTTGTTATAGAAACACTTGCGGAGTGGAACACTGGTGGAGGGGAACACTGGTGGAGGGCAACACTGGTGGAGGGGAACACTGGTGGAGGGGAACACTGACGGAGGGGAACACTGGTGGAGGGTAACACTGGTGGAGGGCAACACTGGCGGAGGGCAACACTGGCGGAGGGCAACACTGGTGGAGGGGAACACTAGTGAAGGGCAACACTGGCAGAGGGCAACACTGGCGGAGAGCAACACTGGTGGAGGGGAACACTAGTGAAGGGCAACACTGGCGGAGGGGAACACTGGCGGAGGGGAACACTGGTGAAGGGCAACACTTGTGGAGGGGAACACTGTGTGGGAAATTTTTACAAACCATATCTAATAACCATCTAAGAAATGTATAATTTCTATATAATTTCTATATCATATCAAAATCAAATCCGAATTATTATAGATTCATTATACAGCTTGATCCTAGATGACAATGTCACTATGATCGCGTACGCAATAGGGCCCTATTGATGCCTACGTGACTTTGTGCATGATCTCTCAAGGATCCTGAAGCTTCTAGAAGGATTTGTTAATTAATAAACTATTGGAACATTCATTCAATATCCGGTAGGGATAAAATCGAATCCTTAATAAGAATCAGTGGTACTATCAAGTACTACTTATAATCTTTATATCCTATATCTAATTATATTATAATCACATCTTATCTCAATCATAAGTCTAGACTGTAAAAATAATCAATCAATATTCATAGAAGGCTACCGTGCTCAGGGAGCATGGGGGGGTCGATGGCTGGGAGAAGGGCCAAGGACAAACCCCGCGGCACTACCCGTTTGTTGACAAAACAGTGAACAGTGACGGATCCTTAGCGAACATTATTAGGCTTGGGACACCTTATCTAGTTATCTTTATCACTAGTGAATACTCTCTAGAACTAGGGGAGTACCTGGACAATATTTACAAGGAAAATCCCTAGAACATTTATATCTATAAGTGTAGAGCGGAGCACACAGTGACTTGGCTCCACCTTCACCATCAACTATCATTCTTCTGCAACTGCAGGGACAAACACGTAGCAACGCTGCCAGATCATCATACAGCAAAGCTGTGATATAAAATATCGTGCCTAAACTCAACAAGAGAAAGTTAATCAGTCTGGCACACTGTCAGACAGGCACTCCGACTGGCAGAGAAGTATATTGAAGGTTATTTTGTTATATGATTGGCTAATTGTATGCTTGTGTGACTTTAATATTCTATAAATCTGTCTGTCGGTTAAAAAGCGAGGCAACGCCTCATTTTTCAGTAAGTTTATTAAAATTGTAGTGTAGCTGTGAATCTTTATCCAAGCACTAGACCTCATGAGTGTCCATTGTGTCAGAAAAGGATTTAACTGCAATAAGTAATAAATTAAGTTAACAATTGCTTGCTTAGTTATTTTTTAAGTTATCATATAAGTTCATTTAATTGAATATAATTTTGTACTTGGTACATTTAAAGTCATTTATTATACTTTTACAATTTAAATTGTTGTTTATAGTATAAGTATATATTGGCTGTTAATAGTTATGGTGCTAGGCTAGACAATGTACATGTTTAAATCCCTGATTTAAACAGAGCCAGTGTTCAGTCATATAACTGAATTTATAAAATCTTATCCTTGTATAAAATACAAGCTGATGTGAGATCCCTTTCTACAGGTGGACTGGAACTTCTATCAACTAATTCATTCACCCCATCTGTCCCTTACAGCCCACAATCTGTCATTAGGAAAAGAGGAGCTAGGATTTACAACCCTAGCTAGAGATTTTAGTTGAATTAATTTGCAGACAGTAATTTTTTAATTTAGTTCATTACAAGTCCCTGGTAGTCTCCTCTAATATCAATCCCAGCAGGTTTTTCCCACACACTGGTAGAGGGCAACACTGGTGGAGGGCAACACTGGTGGAGGGCAACACTGGTGGAGGGCAACACTGGTGGAGGGCAACACTGGCAGAGGGCAACACTGGTGGAGGGCAACACTGGCGGAGGGCAACACTGGTGGAGGGCAACACTGGTGGAGGGCAACACTGGCGGAGGGCAACACTGGTGGAGGGCAACACTGGTGGAGGGCAACACTGGTGGAGGGCAACACTGGTGGAGGGCAACACTGGTGGAGGGCAACACTGGTGGAGGGCAACACTGGTGGAGGGCAACACTGGTGGAGGGCAACACTGGCGGAGGGCAACACTGGCAGAGGGCAACACTGGTGGAGGGCAACACTGGTGGAGGGCAACACTGGTGGAGGGCAACACTGGTGGAGGGCAACACTGGTGGAGGGCAACACTGGTGGAGGGCAACACTGGTGGAGGGCAACACTGGTGGAGGGGAACACTGGTGGAGGGGAACACTGGTGGAGGGGAACACTGGTGGAGGGCAACACTGGTGGAGGACAACACTGGTGGAGGGCAACACTGGTGGAGGGCAACACTGGTGGAGGGCAACACTGGTGGAGGGCAACACTGGCGGAGGGCAACACTGGCGGAGGGCAACACTGGTGGAGGGCAACACTGGTGGAGGGCAACACTGGTGGAGGGCAACACTGGTGGAGGGCCACACTAGTGGAGGGCAACACTGGTGGAGGGCAACACTGGTGGAGGGCAACACTGGTGGAGGGCAACACTGGTGGAGGGCAACACTGGTGGAGGACAACACTGGTGGAGGGCAACACTGGTGGAGGACAACACTGGTGGAGGGCAACACTGGTGGAGGACAACACTGGTGGATGGCAACACTGGTGGAGGGCAACACTGGTGGAGGTCAACACTGCACCACCAGTGCTCCAGACAATACTCCAACTCTCCCGTTTTGAAAGGAGAAATGCGTAGCGAGCAATACCCAAGACGGGACAACACTAGTAATTTATATAGTATTAACATTGCTGTGGGGGACTCTGGGTGTGAAGGTTCTCATGATCCCTCCCATCATGGTCCTGGCCGCCGCCGCTATATTTGCTCGGTCGTGTCCACTAAATGTCTGGTCGTCAGGCATCATAACTCCCAGGTGTTTTAAATGTTGTATTCCTTCTATGATTGTGTCCTGTACCCTGTTTAAGTTCCTTGTTTTCACCACACCTCAGTACCTGGAACTTATCTCTGTTAAACATCTTGTTATTTTCAGTTGCCTACTCGAAGACGTTATTTGTCATTGTCATAGAAGCGTTTCATTGCTACTAGAAACATCCTTCCACTTATATATGTGTTACAAAATGATACACATTGTTAATAGAAAGCTGGACTTTACGGGTTTACTATTTTATTTCGGTGTCGGTGTCTTTGTGTCGGTGTCTTTGTGTCGGTGTCGGTGTCTTTGAGTCGGTGTCTTCGTGTCGGTGTCGGTGTCTTTGTGTCGGTGTCGGTGTCTTTGTGTCAGTGTCGGTGTCTTTGTGTCGGTGTCGGTGTCTTTGTGTCGGTGTCGGTGTCTTTGAGTCGGTGTCGGTGTCGGGTCTTTGTGTCGGTGTCGGTGTTTTTGAGTCGGTGTCGGGTCTTTGTGTCGGTGTGGGTTACTGTGTGTTGGACAGCAACATATATTCATAACAACCACCACATTCTCCAGCCTGCCTCATTTTGGCGTGCACAAGTACTACTTGGCTACAGTAGCAGTATGAATTATGGCTCAGATTGGTAAGCTTGTGAGGTACAGGTGTGTGTGAAGAGAGCCTAGTGTGTGTGAACAGACAGCTGACACACACACACACACGCACGCACATACACACACACACACACACACACACACACACACACACACACACACACACACACACACACACACACACACACACACACACACACACACACACACACCATAAAGATGAGAAGATGATGAGAGAAGATGAACCAGCAATGTTTGATCTGATATCTACCCTAAATGAGTTGGATATAAGGGAAGTCAAGATGAAAGCACTCTTGGGAATGAATGATCACAGTGTATTGAACTTTGAGTACCTGGTAGAGCTAGGAATTATCTCCCACAAAAAAGAACTAGGAAACAAAAGGCTGGCATACCGAAAGATTAGAGAACTACTTAGATTCTGTGACAAATTTTCACTCAATCAGCAGATATCGGAGCCAACGAGAAATGAAAATATTCTAGATCTGGTCTTTACGAACAATGAAGACATTATCAGAGACATTACGATATCAGATACCACATACTCAGATCACAAACTCATTGAAGTGCAAACGACCATCAATACCCAGAATAGACCTAAAACGTTGATAAAGCGAGAGGGGCTTTTCAGTAAATTCAATTTTAATAATAAAAGGATAAACTGGGAGATAATAAACAGGGAACTTACAAACATTCCATGGGGAACTGTTCTAAATAATACAAGTCCTACGGAAGGAATAGAAAAACTGACTTCAGAAGCGTATCAAGTCTGTCTGAAACATGTTCCTTTGAGGAAAGCCAGAAAGAGATCTAACGTAGAAAGAGAACGCAGACGACACTATAAACGCAGGAAAAAAATAACGGAACTGCTTATGCAGACACGAATTTCCCGTCAAAGAAGGAATAATTTAAATAGGGAGATTGAAGAAATCGAGCGGAAATTGAAACACTCATATGAAACTGAAGAAAAGCAGTTAGAACAGAAAGCAATTCAGGAAATAAAGAAAAATCCAAAATATTTCTTCTCATATGCGAAATCAAAAGCAAAAACCACTGCCAGTATTGGACCTATTCGTACAAGTGAAGGTTCATACACGGAGGATGACAAAGAAATTAGTGAAATCCTAAAAAAGCAGTATGAGGACATGTTTAGCACTCCAATAAACAACATGAAGGTGGAAGATCCAGACAATTTCTTTATGCGGGATATTCAAACTCCTGTAAATATAACTGATATAAACACGAGCGCACTAAATTTTGAAAAAGAAATTGAAAACATGCCCATGCACTCGGCCCCAGGTCCAGACTCATGGAATTCAATATTTATAAAGAAATGCAAAGTTCCGGTAGCACAGGCACTCAGTATAGTGTGGAGGAAGAGCTTGGACACGGGGGAGATACCAGATGCACTTAAAGTAGCAGACATAGCCCCTCTACACAAGGGAGGGAGCAAAGCATTGTCAAAAAATTATAGACCAGTTGCACTAACATCGCACATCATAAAAGTATTTGAGAGAGTGATTAGGAGTCAGGTCACCAATTTCATGGAGACCAATGACCTTCACAACCCAGGCCAACATGGATTTCGAGCGGGAAGATCGTGCCTCTCACAGCTACTTGAGCACTACGACAAAGTCACTGAGGCATTAGAAGAGAAACAGAATGCTGATGTGATATACACAGACTTCGCAAAGGCTTTCGATAAATGTGACCATGGCGTGATAGCACACAAAATGAAGTCAATGGGAATAACCGGTAAAGTAGGACGCTGGATACTCAGTTTTCTGTCAAACAGGACTCAGCGAGTAACGGTCAACCATATAAAATCTAGTCCAAGTGCAGTGAAAAGCTCTGTACCTCAGGGTATAGTCCTTGCACCGCTGCTTTTCCTTATTCTCATATCAGATATAGACAAAAATACAAGTCACAGCTTCGTATCATCCTTTGCAGATGACACAAAAATCAGTATGAAAATTACCTCGGCTGAGGACATTGAAAAACTTCAAGCTGATATTAATAAAGTTTTCGACTGGGCATCAGAAAATAACATGATGTTTAACAGTGATAAATTCCAGGTACTCAGGTACGGTAAAAATGAGGACCTTAAACATAATACAGAGTACAAAACACAATCAAATGTACCCATAGTAGGAAAACAGCATGTAAAGGATTTGGGAATAATAATGTCTGACGACCTAACGTTTAAGAAGCATAACCAAGCAAATATTGCGTCAGCCAGAAAAATGATAGGATGGATTACGAGAACTTTCAAATCCAGGGATCCCATCACAATGGTTGTACTCTTCAAGTCACTTAAGTCACTTGTGTTCTCCCGTCTTGAGTACTGCTCAGTACTCACTTCCCCCCTTCAGAGCAGGAGAGATTGCTGAAATAGAGGGAATACAGAGAACATATACGGCACGCATAGATGCAATAAAGCACCTAAACTATTGGGATCGTCTCAAAGCCCTCCAAATGTACTCACTAGAAAGAAGACGAGAGAGATATCAAATAATATACACCTGGAAGATACTGGAGGGCCAAGTACCAAATCTACACAGTAAAATAACAACGTACTGGAGTGAACGATATGGAAGCAAATGTAGAATAGAACCAGTGAAGAGCAGAGGTGCCATAGGCACAATCAAAGAACACTGTATAAACATCAGAGGTCCGCGGTTGTTCAACGTCCTCCCAGCAAGCATAAGAAATATTGCCGGAACAACCGTGGACATTTTCAAGAGGAAACTAGATTTATTCCTCCAAGGAGTGCCGGACCAACCGGGCTGTGGTGGGTATGTGGGCCTGCGGGCCGCTCCAAGCAACAGCCTGGTGGACCAAACTCTCACAAGTCAAGCCTGGCCTCGGGCCGGGCTTGGGGAGTAGAAGAACTCCCAGAACCCCATCAACCAGGTATCAACCAGTTATCAACCAGGTATCAACCAGGTATCAACCAGGTATCAACTAGACAGACTGAGTGAATGGTCCAACAAATGGCTGTTGAAGTTCAACCCGAGTAAATGCAAAGTAATGAAACTAGGTGGTGGAAATAGGAGGCCAAACACAGGATACAGAATAGGAGATGAAGTACTTAATGAAACGAACAGAGAAAAAGATCTAGGAGTTGATATCACACCAAACCTGTCTCCTGAAGCCCACATAAAAAGAATAACGTCTGCGGCATATGCGAGGCTGGCTAACATCAGAACAGCGTTCAGGAACCTGTGTAAGGAATCATTCAGAATCTTGTACACCACATATGTAAGACCAATCCTGGAGTATGCGGCCCCAGCATGGAGCCCGTACCTTGTCAAGCACAAGACGAAGCTGGAAAAAGTCCAAAGGTATGCCACTAGACTAGTCCCAGAACTAAGAGGCATGAGTTACGAGGAAAGGCTGCTGGAAATGCACCTTACGACACTGGAAGACAGAAGAGTAAGGGGAGACATGATCACAACCTACAAAATCCTCAGAGGAATCGACCGGGTAAACAAGGATAAACTATTCAACACTGGTGGGACGCGAGCAAGAGGACACAGGTGGAAACTGAGTACCCACATGAGCCACAGAGACGTTAGAAGGAACTTTTTCAGTGTCAGAGTAGTTAACGGATGGAATGCACTAGGCAGTGATGTGGTGGAGGCTGACTCCATACACAGTTTTAAATGTAGATATGACAGTGCCCAGTAAGCTCAGGAATCTGTACACCAGTTGATTGACAGTTGAGAGGCGGGACCAAAGAGCCAAAGCTCAACCCCCGCAAGCACAAATAGGTGAGTACAAATAGGTGAGTACACACACACACACGCACACATACGCACACATACGCACACATACGCACGCACGCGCGGGTGCACACACACACACACACACACACACACACACACACACACACACACACACACACACACACACACACACACACACACACACACACACACACACACACACGCAGATTTGGGGGGCCTCGTAGCCTGGTGGATATCGTGCAGGACTCGTAATTCTCTGGCGCGGTTCGATTCTCGCACGAGGCAGAAACAAATAGGCAAAGTTTCTTTCACCCTGAATGCCCCTGTTACCTAGCAGTAAATAGGTACCTGGGAGTTAGTTAGCTGTCACGGGCTGCTTCCTGGTGTGTGTGTGTGTGTGTGGTGTGGAAAAAAAGTAGTTAATAAACAGTTGATTGACTGTTGAGAGGCGGGCCGAAAGAGCAAAGCTCAACCCTTGCAAACACAACTAGGTGAATACACACACACACACACACACACACACACACACACACACACACACACACACACACACACACACACACACACACACAGAAACAAAAACAAATGGGCACAAAACAGGCAGAAACAAATGGGCAAAGTTTCTTTCACCCTAAGTGCCCCTGTTACCTAGCAGTAAATAGGTACCTGGGAGTTAGTCAGCTGTAACGGGCTGCTTCCTGGGGTGTGTGTGTGTGGTGTGAAAAAAAAAGTAGTTAGTAAACAGTTGATTGACAGTTGAGAGGCGGGCCGAAAGAGCAAAGCTCAACCCCCGCAAAACACAACTAGTAAACACACACACACACACACACACACACATACACACACACACACACACACACACACACACACACACACACACACACACAACTTTTTTAGAAAAGTAGAAAGAACTTTTTTAGTGTCAGAGTGGTTGACAAATGGAATGCATTATAAGTGATGTGGTGGAGGCTGACTCCATACACAGTTTCAAGTGTAGATATGATAGAGCCCAATAGGCTCAGGAACCTGTACACCTGTTGATTGATGGTTGAGAGGCGGGACCAAAGAGCCAGAGCTCAACCCCCGCAAGCACAATTAGGTGAGTACATGGACACGTGATTCTGTGATCCCGGGCGCCGGCGAGAAACGATGTGCAGTTTCTTTCACCCTATGCCCCTGTTACCTAGCAGTAAATAGGTACCTGGGAGTTAGTCAACTGTCACGGGCTGCTTCCTGGTGTGTGTGTGTGTGTGTGTGTGTGTGTGTGTGTGTGTGTGTGTGTGTGTGTGTGTGTGTGTGTGTGTGTGTGTGTGTGTGTGTGTGTGAAAAAAGTAGTAGTAGTTAGAAACGGTTGATTGACAGTTGAGAGGCGGGCCGAAAGAGCAGAGCTCATCCCCCGCAAGCACAACTAGGTGAATACTACTAGGTGAATACACACACACACACACACACACACACAAACACACACACACACACACACACACACACACACACACACACACACACACACACACACACACACACACACAAACACACACACACATATAAATAGGATAACGACAGCAGCGTACTCTACTCTGGCAAAAGTTAGAACATCATTCAGAAACCTAAGTAAGGAGGCATTTAGGGCGCTTTACACTGCCTACGTAAGGCCAGTCTTAGAGTATGCCGCCTCATCATGGAGTCCCCATCTGAAGAAGCATATAATGAAACTGGAAAAGGTTCAGAGGTTTGCAACGAGACTCGTCCCAGAGCTACGAGGGATGGGGTATGAGGAGCGCCTGAGGAAACTGTGCCTTACGACACTAGAAAGAAGAAGGGAGAGGGGGTGACATGATAGGAACGTATAAGATACTCAGAGGGATTGACAGAGTGGACATAGACGAAATGTTCACACGGAATAGTAACAGAACGAGGGGTCATGGATGGAAGCTTGAAACTCAGATGAGTCACAGAGATGTTAGGAAGTTTTCTTTTAGCGTGAGAGTAGTGGGAAAATGGAATGCACTTCAGGAACAGGTTGTGGAAGCAAATACTATTCATAATTTTAAAACCAGGTATGATAGGGAAATGGGACAGGAGTCATTGCTGTAAACAACCGATGCTCGAAAGGCGGGATCCAAGAGTCAATGCTCGATCCTGCAGACACAACTAGGTGAGTACAACTAGGTGAGTACACACACACACACACACACACACATGCAGGGACGGCGGGAATACATACCGTCCAGCAGGTCTCTGTCGGGCGCGGGGATGCTGGCGGAGAGCTGGTCGACGATGTTGAAGTGTAGGAGGTCAGTGGGGTGGAGGGCGGAGGCGTGGAGGTGCCACTGTGTCAGTCTGCCGTCCAGTGCCACGGAGAAGAAGCTGGGGTCCTCACCAGGCTCCGTGTCCACCCACACCACCTGCGCCACCACCAACACTACCGTTATACTCACTATATATATCTCAGCCCTGCATGTTTAACATTATGATATATTTCAAGGTTGCAATGAAGCTGCCGTTACCCTTCTCTTAGTGTCACTGTCTATGGAACTTCATAGTTTCTTTTTGCCGTCGTTATCTCTTTTTAACATTTCTAACCAGTTTGACGAATTCTTGTTCTAAACCGACTTCTCCATTCTTAATCCTTTTGTACCAAGCTCTTTTTCTACCTATAAGGTTCTTCAGATCCATTGTTATCTATTTCTAGTCATTATTATTCGATCTATTCAATTTGTATGGTATCATGAGGTTATCTTGAGATGATTTCGGGGCTTTTTTTTTTTTTAGTGTCCCCGCGGCCCGGTCCTCGACCAGGCCTCCACCCCCAGGAAGCAGCCCGTGACAGCTGACTAACTCCCAGGTACCTATTTACTGCTAGGTAACAGGGGCTGATTCAGGGTGAAAGAAACTTTGCCCATATGTTTCTGCCTCGTGCGGGAAGCGAACCCGCGCCACAGAATTACGAATCCTGCGCGCTATCCACCAGGCTACGAGGCCCCCGTGGTATACTACGTGCCTGTGCTTTGTCTAGAATATTTTTAAATAAGTTATATTTTGAATCCACATCGAAATCCCTCTTTACATCAGCCATCGTTGTCCATGGAATATGTGCATCAAACATGATTGTTGTCACATGCCTCTCACAGGTTGTACACATACTGTTATTATATCTATATATTCATTTCTCGTCCTGGCGAGGGATCTGGGGGACCTACCAACTCACCACTTAGTGACGGATATACAAAAATACATAAATATATAAATAGCTAAATTCAGAAATATAAGAACTAAAGGTAAAATTTGATCCGGGGCCCTGCCTGCCGGGGCCCAGGAGCTACACCAGGGGTGTAGAGGCTGTCTGGGACAACACAGAATTAAACACGAAAGAAGTTGGAGAACTTTATACGTACTGAAAATTAACTGGCAAAGAGGTTCATATATATATATATATATATATATATATATATATATATATATATATATATATATATATATATATATATATATATGTCGTACCTAGTAGCCAGAACGCACTTTTCAGCCTACTATGCAAGGCCCGATTTGCCTAATAAGCCAAGTTTTCATGAATTAATGTTTTTTCGACTACCTAACCTACCTAACCTAACCTAACTTTTTCGGCTACCTAACCAAACCTAACCTATAAAGATAGGTTAGGTTAGGTTAGGTAGGGTTGGTTAGGTTCGGTCATATATCTACGTTAATTTTAACTCCAATAAAAGAAAATTGACCTCATACATAATGAAATGGGTAGCTTTATCATTTCATAAGAAAAAAAATAGAGAAAATATATTAATTCAGGAAAACTTGGCTTATTAGGCAAATCGGGCCTTGCATAGTAGGCTGAGAAGTGCGTTCTGGCTACTAGGTACGACACACATATATATATATATATATATATATATATATATATATATATATATATATATATATATATGCAATTGACGATCACAAAACACTGATCATTTTATGCGGAAAATCCACAGAGAAATATGAAATGAGGTGAACGTTTCGACTTGTTAAAGCCTTTGTCAACACCAGACTGACTAGAAGAGAAGGGAGAAGAGGTGAGGATATATAGGCCGACACCTGACCAACCCATCCTTAGGGAAAGAATTAACCAGAAACAGGTATAGCTTAGCTATGAATGGTCAAAGAGGATTAAGCGGTCAGAGAATAAGGATGAAAGATTAAAGAAAAGCCTCATGAACACACAATATATGAATATAAAATTATAATGAGACATTGTAAGCCTCTCTTATCAGAGTTTTTTCTTAAACTGTTGTGCAATATTATAACTTAAAAATGGATCAAGTTTGTACATTCCAGTACTAACATTAAGAAGATTTGGACACTGACTGATTAGAGCAGACTCAATTAAATTCCGTTCCACGAAATCCCCGCAATTGGTAATGCTTTTTGTCGCATTCCAGTTAATATTGTGATCGCATAAACTCGTATGTAGATACAATGCATTAGACGTTTGGGCAGTTCTAATACTATAAGCATGTTGTGACAACCGCAATTGTAAGGACTTTCCTATTTGTCCAAGGTACACAGAATCACAATCATTGCAGGGAATCGAATACACACAACCTGCTGTATCAGGGGAGTTTTTTATTAAATTGGATTTGATCGTACTATTAGTGAACACCAAATTTATATTAAGTTTCTTAAAAATCAGAGACAATTTTTCAAATCCACTCGCATAAGGTACCACCAATGAGTTAATAATTTCTGGTTTCGCCTTATAGGGACGTGATTATAAAACGTACGCTTGGCTTGTTCAAACGAGAAATCCAAAAACCTCTTAGGATATTGTAAACTCTTCCCAATTTCATATATTTTAGCAATCTCTTCATCAAAAAACTCAGGACTGCATACCCTCAAAGCTCGTAGAAACATTCCTGAAAATACTGCCTGTTTAACTTTACTATGATGATTCGAATAAAATTGAACATACGACCCCACGTTGGTAGGTTTCCTATACACATTAAATTTGAACTTTCTAGTGACTCTATGAATCATAATGTCCAAAAACGGAAGAGTACCATTCTCCTCAGTCTCACAAGTGAATTTTATTGAAGGTACCAAAGAATTGAGTTCATTAAGAAAAACTATCTGGTCTTTGTCGCACGGCCATAAGCACAAAATATCATCAACATACCTAAACCAAACTAATAGAGATCCTACTGAAAAAGTGATTGCACATTTTAACAAAACTCTTAAAACTGTGTGTAAAGGCGATAAAGAGTTGATATCTAGGCTAACAAGTCGATCCCCCTCTCTTCCTTACATGTATGGTCTTATAAAAACTCATAAGCCATATAATCCGGCAAGGCCGATTATTAGTTCAATTGGTTCGGCGGCTTATAAACTCTCTAAGTGGTTAGTCAAAGTTTTGTCCCCTATAGTTGGTACTATTTCCAACTCACACTTGACAAACAATGTGGACTTAGTTAATAAGCTATCCACACTGAATTTAAATTTTGATTTTAAAGTAATAAGTTTCGATGTGACCTCTTTATTCACTAAAGTTCCTGTTGATGATCTGTTAGAATTTCTACGTGAGGAACTGCCTAAATATAATTTGAGCTTGCAGACCAATAAAATATTGGAACTTGTCAAATTGTGTAGAAAAGAAAATTATTTTAGTTTTAATGGAAAATTTTTTAAACAAACATTTGGTATGGCGATGGGCAATCCCCTTTCCCCAGTTTTAAGCAATTTGTATATGGAATTCTTCGAAACAAAAATCTTATCCAGGATTATCCCGGCTAATGTAGTTTGGTTTACGTATGTTGATGATATTTTGTGCTTATGGCCGTGCAACAAAGACCAGATAGTTTTTCTTAATGAACTCAATTCTTTGGTACCTTCAATAAATTTCACTTGTGAGACTGAGGAGAATGGTACTCTTCCGTTTTTGGACATTATGATTCATAGAGTCACTAGAAAGTTCAAATTTAATAAAAAAAAAAAATCAAAATGTTTATTTAGGTAAGGTACATACATAAAAGAGATTTTACAAAGAGTGATGGATTTATAGTTAGGGCTAGTACATACAATGCCTAAAGCCACTATTACGCAGAGCGTTTTGGGCATAAAAAACTTAAATGACTAAAGCTTAATACTAATTGAGCATAAAGAGTAAAATGAAAACATGGAATGAAAACATAGCTGAAAAAGCAGCACAAATACAATTCTGTCGACAAACAGCGCTCTTTAAAAAAAAACAGACATTGGATGACATTAGAGGGGTAAGGTAGGTTACAGGGAATTTATTAGGTATAGCTTCGTTTTTATCTTAAACTGGTTGAGAGAGGTACAGTCTTTAACATGGTTGGGAAGGTCATTCCACAATCTGGGTCCCTTGATTTGTAGAGCATTTCTAATTTGATTAAGTCGTACTCTTGGAATATCAAAACTATTTATTTCTGGTGTGGTGCTCATGGGTTCTGTTACAACCTTCTATGAAGCTTTTGAGATCAGGATTGGCATTACAGTTTAGCGTTTTATATATGTATAATACACATGAGAGAATGTGCAGTGACTTAATGTCTAACATATTCAGAGATTTGAGTAGGGGTACCGAGTGATGTCTGGGGCCAGAGTTGGATATTGTTCTAATAGCAGCTTTGTGTTGAGTAATTAGAGGACGTAAATGATTTTGGGTAGTAGAACCCCAAACACAAATACCATAGTTGAGATATGGATAGACGAGGGAGTAATAGAGAGTTACCAGGGCAGGGCGGGGTACATAATATCTGATCTTAGAAAGAATGCCCACAGTTTTTGAAACTTTTTTTGTATATATTTAGAATGTGGCCCTGGAAATTCAGTTTGTGGTCAATGAGAATGCCAAGGAATTTGCCATCTAATTTGTTACAAATTTGGGTATTGTTTATTTTGAGATTTATTTGATTAGAGGATTTATTGCCAAACAGAATATAGAAAGTTTTGTCAATGTTAAGGGTGAGTTTGTTGGCAGTTAGCCAAAGGTGGACTTTATTTAGCTCAGTATTTACTGTGGCATTTAGAGCAAGGGGGTCAGGACTGGAGTAAATGAAGGTTGTGTCGTCAGCAAATAGAATTGGTTTGAGGTGTAGGGAGGCATTTGGAAGGTCATTAATGTAGATAAGAAAGAGGAGAGGGCCAAGTATGCTGCCCTGAGGAACACCAATGTTGATGGGTAGGGTGGGAGAAATTGAATTATTCACAGAAACATACTGGAGCCTGTCAGTAAGGCAGGATAGGAAACAGTAGTTTCTGTCAGTAATGTGTATAGGGAGGTGAAACGCAACACATACATGTGCCTATCCTTGAGCCCGGATAGGCACATGTATAAGCAAGTAGATGGGGTCGCCATGGGTTCTCCCCTAGGTGTCCTGTTTGCAAACTT